TTTGATTTTATTTGCTTCCATTCCAAAAGTGTACTCAAATACTCTCTTTTATCAACATTCGTCTCATCGAGAACGACTAAGAAGTTGTCCCTATCCTCCCTAGGAACGCACGATGTTCTCTGAACATTATAGGGATTTCCTTTCGTGTGCTCCAAGCGATAAAGAAATGGCAGCACCATTTCTCAATTGATTTTTGATCAATAGCTCTGCGTGAAACTGTTAAAATAGAAAAAAATTTATTGAGCTATGAAATATTACCGTAGGTTGGATATTACATATCAATGTATCCATAATAGAAACTCACAGAAAATATTTTGTTATATTTTGTTATTATAATCGAAGTATCGAAGTTACCTGTATCAAAGTTCAGGGGAATTATGAAATGTAAATGACATGGCAACTATGTATAAGTGCTAGGATTCAGGAATCAACGTTTGCCGTTACTCTTTTAAAAACACGTTTCCCCATCTATTGGAGTGCGCTTGAAGTAATATTCTACAGATCACTTCGCAGCAAGTCCAACAGCAACACTTGTGTACATTGGCGGACTGGCCCATAGGGCGGGTAATGAGGTTGTTTGTACACACTAGTCGAATTAACCCCGTATATCTATTTTATTTTGATTATTCCATGTATTGAAAGCATTTGTTACAGTTACTCATTATTAACAATCATTACAAATATTTTTTTCATCAATAATCAAAACAATCACCTATCAAAACGCTAGCTTTCGATGACGTGACATAGCTATAAGCACTATTAGTAATCTTTGATAGATGTCCATGGTTTCTCAAAGTGGAGTCAAGTATTAAATACTGAATGATACACAAAGTCATCTCCACGACTTTTAATGTGATTAACACATCAAAAACTGGTACAAGTTTCGGACATATATATTATGTTCATCATAACATTCGGTGGCCAGGTAGCCGTGCGGACAGAGTGTCTATATTCTAATTCGCATTCGCTTGCCGGTCGTGGGTTCGATTCCCGTCGACTGCAGAAATTTTTCTGATGGCCCAAGAAAGTGTTTGGGATCACACGTTAAAAGGTAAGGCCCCCGTCATTCCTTGCTCGCACAAGACTTTCGAAGACTTTTGAGGGTTGCTCGTAAGGGGGCAACCGAATGACGGATAGAACAAATTTTAGAACAAATTTTTTAAACAAATCATCAGCCCTATATCAGAAATTTCATATTTGTCATTGTGATAACAAGGTTATGTCAACAACTTTTACATTAGAAAAAATAGAGAAGGGTTTAAATTGTGGAAAGTTATTTATGGGGAAACTCAACAAACCCCCGGACAACTCTTAATGTGTTGTTGCTCAACAACTCATAAAAATATTTTCCTGAGACAACGGAGGAAAACCTGAAACGTAATGTGTCAATGTGTGAGTGTGGACGGTCTTGTTTTCGTTCTAGTTTTGTGACAGTCGCCAACTCGAATAATACCACGTTGATTTAAATCCTATAATGTAAAGAAAGCCGTTTCGACCAATAATGAATAGTTTCGGCAGAAAAAAATCCTAAAGTTGAAAAATCTCGATTTTGAACACCCTATATCTCTGTAATCGTTCCCGCTAGACCCCAAATATGATGTATTGATGGAATCAGCACTTCAGGAAGAATATAAAGATTCAATGAAACACAGGGTGTTCCATTTGAAAAAATCAAGTGATACTCTGTAGATCGTTTGTTCCGAGCACCCTGTATTTTCTGATGCAACGGAAGAAAAATTTCTGAAAAATCATTTCAGATTATTCTTCAAATTTTTAAATCGGTTCAAAAATAAGTGAGCTAGAGGGGGGGACATTTATGGTGAATCACCCTGTACTCTCATTTCCTCTCTATTTTGTTTTCATTATTTTTTTTATCAATTTCCATCTTTATGCACCTTCTTTATATCCTCATCTTAATACTCTACTACTGCTGTTATTTGCATTTATTATGTTATTACTTTATTTTAATACTCTTCAACGAGTGGGTAAAAAAGCACAAGGCAGGCGTCATACAGCTAGGTGTAATTTATTCCACTCTGTAAGAGGTTTAATACAGAACAATACCATGTATAATACAAAGATATATTTGTATTCACCAAGGAGTACTTTGTGTACTATGAGAAATTCTATTTCTTCTTTTGATATCCTGGTTTTGTATTGACATTTGTAGTTTGTATCTGTATTTTTGTGATTTTGTGTATTTGTATTCCTTCAATGAATCTTGAAAATCTTGAAATCTCAAAATCTTGATTTTACATATAGAATTTACTTCAATATCAAAAAAATGGGTACGACTTGTAATATCAATCTGTTATGGTTATGGTGTTCTACATATTTAGATCATACCTGTTCTCCTTTAGTCATTTGAAGTATTGGAATTGAAATGTAGGTACCCTTTCCGCCGACTTCGTATTAACAAGTTTGATTAATGTACAGTGTGTCCAGTTTTCGATGCTCTTGCGTGATATCTCAGTTTATCTCTCGAGATAGAAACATGCAGTTTTCGCGGTCCTGTGCCACTTTTTTGTGAAACTCAACTTGACCTAATCAGATTTTGCATAACTGTTTCCGTTTATGAGATACAGGGCGATTTTGAAAATTTATACTTTTTGGACCACCTCAATATCTACGTGTCTCAGCCAAAGACCTATTATTTCAAACTAAAATCTCATCCCATAGTGAATTTTTGAAAAAAAATTAGGAATTCAATGAGCTTATCAAATACAGGGTGTTCCATTAAAAAAATCATAAGTTTGAGTCGTATCTCCAAAAACCATACCCCGACAAAAAATGTTGAGTGCGCCACTGGATTCTGCGTAAAATCCTCTATAGGATGAGATTTTAATTTGACATTTTCGCTAAGAAACATCGTAGTATAAATTTTGAAGATCGCCCCGTATCTCATAAACGGAAACAGTTATGCAAAATCTGAGTAGGTCATCTTGAGTTTCACAAAAAAGTGGCACAGGACCGTGAAAACCGCAAGTTTCTATCTCGAGAGATAACTGAGATATCACGCAAAAGTATCGAAAACTGGACACACTGTATCGTTGAAGACTCTAATAACGATCAATCCGTCTATTAACGAACCAAACGAACGATTTTGGTGATAGCCCAGGAGATGGTGACAAGTGACGTTCTCTCATTTTACACTGCATGCCTTTGTGAGGGTTTATAACTAAACCCAAAATATGAAAAATATGCCGAGTCCTGGCCGCCGCACGTCTACATTTCATAAGGAAAAACGCTTTTCATTTTGTGAAGAATGTTCGTGTTTTTCTGCGATATTATACTGCCTGTCGTTGTAATATACGGAAGTTCAAACAAACAGAAGCGCTATAATAGTTATCTATCTCATATCATATTGACAATAATTGATTTTATCATGAGATTCCTTCAATTAAAATCGTCGAGTCGTGCAAAAATGGTATATAAACCTCGGAAGTGAGTTCTTTCTTCCCTCAGTGCATTTTAGCACCCTCTGGCTACAAAACCACCTCTGGGAAAATCATGCACTTTACTCTCTCGATTTATAATCTACTATTATTCTACATAAACCACGGAATAAAAAAAAAGAATATTAATGTTGGCTATATTTGGGTTCTTCCAACGGTTTGTCAGTAGGCTAAGCTCCAGATATACGTGAAAGACTGAACTTCAGCACAAATAAGTAATAGTTATTTTTGTAATAAGGATCATAAAGACGATCATTATGGTACAAGTCGTGAATGTTATCGGGCGAGGCATAGCCGAGTCCGATAACACGGCGTGTGCCATAATGATTGTTTATGATTCGAATTACATACAAAATTTTATCTGATGGCATTTATATCAATACATTTTCGAAAAATTAAAAACTGCATTTTCGACATGTCACAATGACAACTATTTTTAAAGGAGTAAGTATTGTGTAGTTTCAAATATTAGTAGGTGAGTGAGCTGTGCTTTGCCATTATATTAATATTACAAATTGTAGTAATTGTTCTTTTACCATTTATAAGAAATAGTTTTGTACATAGTTATGCATTTTGAATGAACTTTTTTGATCAAACCATTACATGTTTTCCTTATAGAATTTCATTATGGTACTTAGTACCATAATGAATTCATTATGGTACTTAGTCCCATAATGAATTCATTATGGTACTTAGTCCCATAATGAGCTTCCTTATGTCATCAAAATTGAGTGACATAACGTTGTCAATTGTCATTATGACATGCCATCAGATAAACTTTATTATATTGGAAATTACAAAATATATTCCGACGAGATTCAAAATTAAACGATATTGTCACTCTGACAAGAAACAACTGCCATCCCTCAAACCCTTAACAACCCTCCTATTCTATACATGGCTATACAGGGTAATATTGGCAAATAAATATATAACATTAATTGAATTGACATCACATAGGTATTCTGTATACAGCCAAAATAACAATAAAAAATTGCACGTGATGATAATCATAATCTTGTTAAAAAAAAGCATTCTTATAGAGTCTTGAGCAAATTTATCAATAACTTCGTTGATAAAATTAACTCTCTGTATATCTTTAAGATGTCGCTGAATACTAATTAAACGAAGTCTCAGAAAGCGCTAATCAGAATAGGAATTGAATAATGCAAATATATCTTGTTTAGAAAGTATCTGATGAGTAAATACCAGGCGTTAGGGGGGGGAAGCACCCTCATCCCCCTCCGGACGCCTCTGGCTATGACTGGTTAGTCATGACTCACCCTGTATATGGACGTATGTTATATGGGATGTGGATGAGATTACCTAACGGGCACACTGTGTATCTTGAAGTTATCTACTATCAATTCACTGTCACAACTGAGTATGTCACGACATCTGCCATTTTCATTTCTCCTTATTTTGTTCATGACAGTTCCATAAGTTTATACAGAGATTTAGGTATCTCTGGTTTATGTTCGTATCGATCAAACAAATAATCCTTCCCTATTTTGAATACGCCCTTCTAATCTTATCAACAATAATATGCAGCCGAATATGCTACGGAATATTGTGAGGGAGATACTGAGGGAATGTTATCCAAGAAAATTGAAGCCCAACGAAAATTTCATTTCTTTTTTCGTAAGTACGTTTTATGATAATTTCAAAATAATTATATTGGACTATGTTTACCGGATTCTTCGCATTTCCTCTCGTATATTTACGAAATTGACTTTTCGCATGCAGTATAGATTAGTGATTGGTTGAATGGAATGGAAGGTCATTTTCTTCAATATGTGAACAGAAATGATAACCCTAATGTTCTTTTTTCGAGAATTTTTGCTTGCTACACTCATTTTAGGGCGAAAATCACGAATTCGAAATGAAATTTTTTGAATTTTATTCGGAAATGAACATCGGAAACTTTTAACAAACGGGTTACTCTGAAATCTTTGCACCACTGTCAGATAATAATTAGGAGATTCAACTGTTATCTAATTATATTTTATATCGAGAACCATAATGAATACACAGTCGGATTAGAAATATAGTTGAGCTTCATAATCAACAGAACCAGCTCAGAGCTCAGAGCTGAGAGCTCCATTATTGAAACCTTGTTGTTACAACTACTATTCAGTGATATTTATCGAAAATGAGAATTTACATAAAACTATCCCTATTTGCTTGGAACATGAGAGGTTTATAATCTGAGATAGAATTTCAATTACTTTCCTGTTCCAATATCTCGAACACCGAGAGGAATTTACTGAGGCCAAGTTGTGGTTTTCTCATAGATTATGAACTTGTTTATCACCAGCTAGAGAGAGTATGATCCATGGTTTATCGGACACCCTGTATACCGGTATTTGCTTGTATATAATGTGATCCTGGAATGTAGCACATTCATCTCCGGACACACTTTACTGGATAGACGCAAGTACTCTCCAAGAGTTAACAATATTCCTCTCAACTGTGGGAGGCTAAATTGGGCACTTTTAAAGGGAAAGTCCTTTTTTCTCCGATTGGCAGCAAATATTAATTTTGCTGACACATATCAATCAGCAAAGTATTACTTTTCCTGCCTAGGCAGCAAAGTGGTTACTTTGCTGATTGATATGTATCAGCAAAATTAATAATCCATAAATCGTTTATAATTTCCTTCATATGTCATCCGAGACTTCTCCGGCAACAAATTCAACTCTATATTTTTTGCCACCTCCCTCATTTCTGGAGGTGTAAGTACTTCCAGGTCGCTATCACTGTCCATTATATAATTATTTTTTCGCACAACTGTCAGAAATTTCATGAATTGTCAAACTATAATTATTATGGACATTTCCATAGCAACCAACCAAACTGCGATTTCTATCAAATTTTATCTTAATTGAACACTACAGGAAAAATAAAGAGATATACAGGGTGTCTGTAAAAGGTCTTTACAAAAACATACCACATATTCCTTAGACCAAAATAAGTCGATTTAAGTAAAATTACCTTTGTACAAAGTTGCATCGTTTGGGCTCCAGAGGGCCTTGAAGTTGATATTTTTAAATCGTTTTTCCCATATAAATTTGAAACGGCATGTGCGATTTTGCTAAATTTTGGTATATTGATAGAGTTTTATGTGGCAAAAAAATTGTGTTAAAATTGTGTCCTATAATAGGACATAGGCGTAGAACTTGATTTTTTAAATAATTGCTCCTTTGAAAATTCTACGCCAATGGAAGAAAAGGAGTTTGAGTATGAAATTTAGATTGCGCAACTCATTTACTTTGAAAAAGGTACTCTTGATAAAACTCGATTGCTCTCATGGTTTTGACAAGATTTGCATTTTAGTAATTTTAGAACATAAACAATAATTATTAAAATACAAACTTTGTCAAAACCATGAGAGTAAATCGAGTGTTATCAAGGGTACTTTTTTGTAGTAAATGAGTACCCAATCTAAATTTCATACTCAAACCCCTTTTCTGCAATTGGCGTAGAATTTTTGAAGGTGCAATTATTTAAAAAATCAAGTTCTACGCCTATGTATTATTATCGGCAAAATTTTATATGATGAAAATCATAAAAATGTACTTCTTTCATATCTGCTTCAACACCTCTAATCAAGACTTTTAACAAAAATACTCGATTCTTGCCATGTACGATTTTTGTGAAACCTATATACACTCTAAATTATTAAAACAGAAATTTTGCGAAAACCATGAGAGTAATCGAGTCTTATCAAGAGTACCTTTTTTAAAGTAAATGAGTTGCGCAATCTAAATTTCATACTCAAACTCCTTTTCTTCCATTGGCGTAGAATTGTTAAAGGTGCAATTATTAAAACAAATCAAGTTCTACGCCTATGGATTAATATCGGACAAAAATTTAACACCATTTCTTTGCCACATGAAACTCTATCAATATACCAAATTTCAGCAAAATCGCATATACCGTTTTAGATTTATATGGGAAAAACGATGTAAAAATTGTAACTTCAAGGCCCTCTGGAGCCCAAACGATGCAACTTTGTACTAAGGTAATTTTACTTAAATCGACTTATTTTGGTCTAAGGAATATGTGGTATGTTTTTGTGAAGACCTTTTACAGACACCCTGTATATCATTATGAACAATCGGAGAAAAAATTATATGTTCAACTTGGCAGCTAAGTAGTAGATTGACTGCCGAGGCTGAATTCATAGCCGAGCGTAGCGAGTAGCGTAGCTAGTTAAACAAATAACTATTTCCGTACAAGATAGAAAAAAACTGATGTCGGTGTCTGTTGATCAATTCACATGACAAACTCGAGGGTGAAAACCGCATATCGATATCTATCTTTATTTCAGAGTTACAAGTTGTTTTTTGAAAATGTGAATTTTTGAAATGTAACTATGTAATGAATATCACAAATTAAAGAAGGTGATCTTCTTATAACAATATTTTATTACTTATTATCTCAAAGTTTTTTATGTCGTCAAGGAAAAACATCAAAACAAAATATATATATACAAGATGTTATTACAGAATCCCCCTTCCCAAGATATCATCACTCCTGTGATGAAATTGCCTTATGTTCGAAATATGTGCCGTTTCTTCTTTACCCTCATTTTCAAAGTGAACATAAGCTAAAACACCATTCATATATTTCACTTTGGTTACTTTCAAGGGCCCTTTTGTCTTATATTCTTTCCCTATTTTCTGATTCCTCGTGAGAATGTAATCTCCTACACTCAGTTTCGGTGGCAACATCTTCCTATTCTTGTTTGCTTGATTCTGTACTCTTGCTTTATAATTTTTCTGCTCCTCACATGATTTTGCTTCTTCTTTTAGCTGTGGTTCTATTCCTAACTCTTTATCAGCTGGTAGTAATTTCGAATTCCCATATAATTTATAATGTGGCGAACACCCTAAGTATTCACAATGAGATGAATTTTGATGTTGAACTGCAGCGTCTAATAATTTTTTCCATCCTCCTGTGAAATTTTCATAACATTTCATGAATGTTTTCAAATTCCTTATTGCTCTCTCAGCAATACCATTGCCACCAGGGTGATAAGGAGAAGTATGTATTAATTTTATTTTACGACCTGAAGCCCATTCTTTGAATGCTTGTGAAGTAAATGCTGTTCCACAATCAGATACAATATACTTGATTTTATTCAAAAATGGTAATTTATCCAAATAAGAAACAACAGCTCGTGTATTCTCTTTCATTGATTTAGCTTGAATGAATCTTGTTGCCTCATCAATGACTAGAAAGAATGATTTTGTAGTTTTGTTCAAACCAGATTTTTTACTTAATTCTGCAAAGTCGATATGTAGTGTTTCGAATGGTTCCTGGGAACAGTAGGTTTCATGTTGAAAATCAGGTTTGGGCAAGTATTTGAATTTCACCAACTGACAAATTGAACAAGTTTTTATGTAGTTCTTTATGTCATTTGCCATACCTTTCCAGTAAAATCGTTGTTTAATCCTATAATAACATTTGTAATACCCATCATGGCCTCCTGAATATGGATCATCGTGGTACAAACTGAGAATTTCTTTCGCCATGTCCTTCGATTTCACTAGATATCTTCCATCCTCAAGTTTTTCCAACTCTTGAATGTTCAAATTCAGCCAAAAAGTTTCTGGATAATCTTCTGGTGCATCTATACAGAGTCTAGATATGGCATCAGCATCCTTCAGCTCTTTTCCTCTTTTGTGATTCACTTCCATATCGAAACTCCTCAAGAAAATTTGCCATCGGGCCAGTCTATCTCTCAAATTTCCCGTACTAAGTAATTGAGTTAAAGCTCTATGGTCAGTATGTACTGTGAATTTCTTGCCTTCTAAATATGTGCGAAAATGTTTCACTGCTTTCACAACAGCGAGACATTCTTTTTCTGTGACACTATAATTCATTTCCGATTTAGAGAAAGTATATGAATAATAACTGATGACTCGCAACTGTCGGGATTTTACGTCAGCTGAATCTCTCTGGTATAAAATTGCTCCAGAACCATAATACGATGCATCAGTAGATAATTCATATTTCAATCGTGGATCTGGAATTCTCAGAATTGGTTCGGATGATATGAGATTTATGAGCTTATTGAATGCCAATTCACATGTTTCAGTCCACTCGAATTTCTTGTTTTTACACTTTAGTTCTTCGATAGGCTTCACAATAGCTCCATAATCTTTGATGAAACTCCTGAAGTGATTTGTTAGTCCAGTAAAACATTGAACAGATTTCAAGTTATGAGGTCTTTTCATATCCCTGACCTTCTGAACCATCTCATTCTTCATCTTCTTAGTATCTCCATCAATCTCTCTTCCCAAAAAATCAATTTTTGTAACACAAAAAAAAACATTTTTTCTGGTTGATTTTCAAATAACATTTCTCCAATTTTTCTAAAATTTTTATCGTTAAACTCTCGCACTCTTGAAGAGTAAAACCTCCACACATAATGTCATCTATGTATACAACAACTTTTTCGTCTAATAATTCATATAAAACTTCTTGCATGATCCTTTGGAATTTGGCACTAGAGTTCTTCCAACCAAATGGTAATCGATTGAATTCATAATGACCATCTTCTGTTACAAATGCAGTGAATTTTCTCGTTTCTTGAGAGATGCCTATATTCCAAAAACCATCTTTCAAATCGA